AGCAGTAGCAGTAGCAGTAGCAGTAGCAGTAGTAGTCGTCGTCGTCGTCGTCGTGGGAGTAGTGCTAGTCGTCGTCGTGGTAGTGGTAGTGGTGGTGGTGGTGGTGGTAGTGGTGGTGGTGGTAGTGGTGGTAGTAGTGTAGTAGAAGTAGAAGTAGTAGTAGGAGTAGGAGTAGGAGTAGTAGTAGTAGTAGTAGCAAGCACTGCAGGCGGCCTGTCTTGTGTGCCGGGTCGGTTTCGTGAACAGGAATGCATGTCCTGCCGCGCATCCCGACTGCACGGTCGCAGGGCCAAGGCCACCTTGCTAGTTCGGGGGGCTTCAGGCCATTGGTGTCGTACCTGTGGGGGGCGATATGCAAGCCGGGGCAGGCGATCCACTGCAAAATCAGAAACTGGGCCTTGAATCAGAAACTGCGCATCAGAAACCAGCGTGTATCAGAAACAGGAGAGCATCTATGGGGGGTTTGGGGGGCATCATAAAGTCCATGGTCTAATGCATTCTGAGCACAGAGCATCTATGGCCCATCCATGATAATGTCCATGGTCTGCTGCAATCCGACAAGAGAGCATCCATGGGGGGCAACGATAACGTCCATGGTCTAGTGCGTTCTGAGCACAGAGCATCCACGGCCCAACCACGCTGACGTCCAAGGTCTGATGCAATCTGACGAGAGAGCATACAGGTGGGGGGCATGATAACGTCCATGTTCTGATGCGTTCTCAGCACAACGCATCTATGGCCCAACCATGATAGCGTCCATGCTCTCATGCATTCGGACAAAAGAGCATCCTTGGGGGGTGGTTTACCACGTTCTGAGAAGAGAGCATCGATGCACCAATTATGATATGTCCATGGTCGAATGCGTTCTGAGAAGAGAGCATCCATGGGCCAACCATGATAACATCCATGCTCTAATACTGAGTTGTGAGAACCGTTCCCTAAGAATCACGGCTTTGGGTTTCCGAAGGATGCATCTAGTTTGTGAATCAGCCGTTGTGGCTTCCGAATCGGCCGTTCTGGTTTCCGAATCGTGATGTGGTTTCCGAATCTGTCGGTCTGATTTCCGAATCAGCGTCGGGGCTTCCGAATCAGCCGTTCTACTTTCCGAATCATGGCTTGTTTCTTATTCAGATGTTCTGGTTACCGATTCAGTCGTTTTGCTTACCGATTTCCGCTGACCCAGGCAGGCTGCGCAATCACGTTGCCTTCCCTCCTCTGCAAGCTGTCGCAGGGAGTGGAGCTATGTGAGAAGGTGCGCCTGTCCATCCGCAGGCCCCCCCGAGCCATCTCGAGGGCACCAAGAAGGGTCTTCCTGCCATGGGCCACCCTGGTCTGGCGCAAGCGTTGCTTGCACTTTCTCCGCTGGATGATTGCGGACCTGGGCCACCGTACAGGACTTCGTCGCTCCGCTTGGGCAGCTGCGTCAGTCGGTCAGGGAGCGGGCACGGCATTCTTCGGCCCAGCCCGGGGCTTCCGAGGTCTCACAGAACCTCTTGCTGTTGCTTGACACGGACATCTGTTATGACAGCTATAAGATCCCGCCATCCGGCGTGCCTCCCACTGACCTTTGCCAAGAGCTCGCGGTGCCTGACTGCCTTCGGTTCCTTTCTGCAGACGGTGCGCCTGCCCGCTTCAAACTCGATGAACCACCGTTGCATTGCTGCGTGCACCCTTTTCTGTGAATTTGCAGCGTGCCCCTTGCTCCCGCCCTTCGTCACGCTCAGTGGCTAGAGGCCTCCGTGGAGGTGTTGGGCCTTGCTGTACGACAAGCAAAGTTCTCTTCGGTGCACATTGTCCGCCCAAGCTAGTCGAGGCCTGCTTAGAGCCTGCCATCTCGTGTAGTCGTGGTAGTGGTGGAAATGGGGATAGTGGTGGAGTTTCTCCGGGTACTAGTGAGAGCGGCAGTAGTGGTGGCAGTTGTGGTGGCGGTGCTGGTGATAATTGGACAATGCTTGCCGCAGCTTCTACAATCTGGTACAAGGTCGCATGACGATGTTGTTGGTCGCCAGCGACATTGTCGAGCCCACCTACAGCTCGTCCTGGGGTGTACGAGTGTGAGTCCAGTGCAATATAACTTAGAATATCTCATATGTGTGAGAGAACATGTAGTATGTAATATGTACTGTGCAGTACATGGGTAGTTCTCTAAATTACGGTTTCTTTGGGGGTCCCTTTTAAAAGGGTGTCGTATGGTGCCGTACTAGACCCAAAAAGGTAGGCCTATTTTACTTGAAGTCCTTCGGACCCTCTATGCCATGCCAGCCGTGTGCGGTCGAAACCCTACCCATGGTCTCCATTGTAGTTCCTTTTTTTGGTTTAACCAATTATATATTGAGGATTTCATAAGGTACCCCCAAAAAGGAACTACAATGGAGACTAGAGGTAAATCCTGCTCGCAGGTCCGGATGCCGCCTGTGAATGGCTCCTGGGACTTTCCGCTCAGCAGGGCTGAGAAGCGGGAGCCTCTTTTGTGTGGCTCCAGGGTTTTGAAGGTCGGGGATTTAGGGCCCTAAACCCTACACCCTAAACCCCAAAACCCCAAAACCCTAAACCCCAAAACCCTAAACCCTAAGGGTAGAAAAGGGGTGTCAAAAACAAATCCTAAGGGTACAGTAGGGGGGAGGGGGGTAGGGCTCCGTTTTGGGCTTTGGGTCTTCGGGCTCAGGCTGGTGGACTCTGGGCTCCTTCGGGTGCTGGGCCACAACGGACGTTTGGTGTCGAGGATTTGGGCTGGCTCGGGGCGGGTTGATCAGGAGGCGCTTGGGATTCCATTAGTTGTTGAGACTCCGTGGGCGTGGGTTCCGAAGATTTCAGACTCACGCTTTGGGGCACATCTGCTCCTGGTTGAGCGGCTGGAGAGAGAGCGCTGAAAGCACCCGGACATTCTCAACAAGAGAAGGGGGTCGGAAAGAGAAAGCTTCTCGGCCTTGCATGCCTCGCATCCCAAATTTGAGGAGTCAAAGTCTGTTCAGCCCTGCTGCACCAGCACCAACTGTGACGCACATGGTCATGTTGACGATGGTTGCTGTTGCCCGGGTTGTCGTTCCTCTTGCTCTGGTTCTTGCCTTTCTTCATCTTAGTCCACTATTGTTGGGTGGCTTGTAGAGGAGCATGATAGAGCGTGCTTCCGATGATCTGCATGTGTGTTTGCTTGTTCGTCTCAGTTTTATTGTAGATGTATGTATGGTTGCATATCTCATGGCCCGCGCAGAGCAGGAGGCCAACACATACTGCATTCGTATATACGCTACACGCCTCAATATCAACGCGTGAGTGTTTTATGCCATTTGTTTTTGTCTGCAGGTATGTGTCCAGTTTCCTGATGTCTAGAACGGCTGATGAAATCTGCAACCTTCCCTTCCCAAAGAAGGCGCAACCTGTGGATGCTGATACTGTATAGGGACCTCAATAATGACCTATACTATTTTGGGGGTTCCTTATTATACCTATAGCATAATCGGTCCCCAAACCCTATTCTGATGAATTATTAAGGACCCCATATTGCTAGAAGCCCTTGGTTCTGTGCTAAAAGCCCGCAGAGCTCAGAACGAAGCTGCTGCTGGACTTGTACACCGTCGAGGCTGGACCTGGCGCGCCGGAGCAAACACACGCGACTGGCAGTAATCAGACATGATGATGCTGATGATGATGATGATGACCGTGGTGATGATGATGATGGTGGTGATGATGATGGTGGTGATGGTGATGATGATGATGGTGGTGGTGATGATGATGATGGCAATGACCAATGATAGCAAGAAGAATACCAGTAGTCATCGCACTAAGCCGCCACCTCGTTCGGTTCACTTGGGCCTGTTTGGTTTAGGATCTGGTGGGAGTGCCAGTATCGGCGCGAGAGTCTGAACATCATCTTCTCGCACTCCTTTTGCGCTACTTATCCAGTCCCTTAGCCAAACCCCCCACACTCCTGCGTAAACTTTGCAGAAACCCTAAAACCTAAACCCTGAACCCTAAACCCTAACCCCTAAACCCCAAACCCCTCTCCCCCCTACCCTCCTCCTAAAGCCTCCAAGAAGCAGGTGCAGAGCTCCCACTTCGAGATCGCAAAGCTGCGGCAGGAGAGGGTGGGTATGACTTTTAGGGCGCCGCGCTTCCCTGGCACATTCATGGACCCGGGTGTAAGAAGAGGGTGGTGGGGGGTATTATGGGTTTAGGGAGCTGCGGGTTTGGGCTCAGAGGCGACTGCACAAGTTCTGATGCAAAAACGGAGCCCTGAGCCAAAGAAGTTCATCCAAGCAGGGAGTCGGACGCCTCTGTCCTCAGACCCCTTAGCTGAGCTCTTCAACTAGCAAGGTTCAGGGCTTGAGGGCTCAGCAAAAGGTTCCGGGCTCCGGTTTCGGGTTCAAACCTCGCATCCCCAGAAGCAGCGGGAAGCTCTTTGACAGGGCCGAAGTCTTTGCAGTATACAGGGAAATAAGGTCATAATGCAAGGCCTCATTCTAGGCGGCTTCTTATCCCATGGGTTCAAGAACAACGTAGTTCTGAACTGAGGGGTATTGTGCTTTCTGGGAAGAATTCGGAGGCCCAGCTACCCTTGAACAATTCTATGACCTGTAAGAAAAGAAGAAGGAGCCTGAAACCTAAGCACATATTCCCCTAAACCCTAAACCCTGAACCAAAACGGCCTCAATAAGGACCTCAGGCCCGCCCAATGCTCCAAAGTGATGTTCAGCCGCATACTCTACACCTCAAGTGCCATCGGTTCCTTCGCCCCGGTTAGGAGTCGGAAAGCTCCCAGGAACACTACGTGAAAGCCCAAGGCCTGTCTAGGGTTGCGGATTCAACCCTGGGGGTGCAGGGTTGTGGGATTTCAGGTTGTTCAGACGTTCAGTAAACTGAGGGGGGGGAGGTTTAGGTGGTTTGGGTTTCCGGCAATGCTCGGGCGACAACCGAAAGGGGTACTACACCCCACATGCATACATAAGTACGTACATGCATGCATACATACATACATGCACAATTGTGCACAAGCACACGCGTAAGCACTGAGGTATGTATGTACGTAACTATGTATGTGTATGGGCATGGGTATGTATGTGTTTTTGGACGTAGATGTTGATGTAAAGGTGTTTATGTGTATCTATATATTTATAGTTCGAAAAAAGTATCTATCTATCGGTGTCTGTGTACATTACTTGAGACATATGCCTACACAGTCAAGACATCTTTTCTCTACTTCGGGGGTTGGGCTTGATCAATTAGGTGGAGCTCAAGTGAATTGGGGTCTTGGGTTCTGGTCTTTTCGATCTAGCTTAGGAGCGGGCTCCAGGGTGAAGGGTCCGTAGGATTGCCCTGGCGACTCGCCGTGGTTCTGAGCCCAAAGAAGAGCAAGAGTAAATCGACAAAGGGCTAGTAATTAGTTCCTTCTACTAACTGTTGTCATTAGTATACTGGTGAAACTTGATGATCCTATTGTCAATCTTATTCTTGGTCTTACTCTTCATGTTGTTTTTTCTTGTTCTTGTTATTCTTCTTCTTATTCTTCTTCTTACTGTTTCATGTTCAAGAGTACGCCGGCGGGGTTGTTAAGCATAATGTCGTGTTTCGGACATAACATAACCAGCTCATAGTGAGAATTCTGCCGGGGCGCCGAGCTTCGACGCTACCAGAGCCTTACGAGCTCAAGGGGGTGCCTGTAGCAGCCTTAAGTTGTTTTTTCCATGACGTCGAAGCTTAGAGGCTCCAAAGTATCGCTTTGGGGTTCTTTTGGGCAGTTGAGTGGCGCAGCCTGAAGATCCGCTGGAGCTAGCTGCCCTTTTTGTGCTTTTTCCCATCGGTGTCCGTGCCCTTGCGCTGCTCCCAGCTGGCCCAAGATCTTCATTGCCAGGGCTTGTTCACTAGCAGACATCGCAGCAGGCAAAGTTGCAACAGCAGCTTGCCGAGTTGACTTGCAGCATGTCAGCGGCCATTGACAGCCTTTCAAAGCACGTGCCCTGCAAACTAACGCCAGCCTTACCTGCTGCTGCGGGAGACGCAGCATCATGGTGTTCGGGATGCTCGTCTGCAAGCCAACATGCTCGGGTTGCTGGCTCCAGATTCCAATCAGGGGTCTTTATAGGAGGAAGCTCTATCCGTGTGAGCTTCGTGTAGTGGCTGATTGGTCTGTTCATGGTTGAACTGAGCAATGGTTTTCTGCGTTTCCTCAACAAGCAAGCATCAAGGTGGACTTGGATGCGAACAAACCCTGCGTCCTACTTCCCATCTACTGTACCGGTTTGCAAGCAGAGCAAACGGCCATGCAAAGTGGACAACCGTCGGACGCCGCAAGTTTCGCATGTACACGCCACAAAGAGTGAGAATATAGATGAGCATGACCTATGGTCTCCATTGTAGTTCCTTTTTTTGGTTTAACCACTTATATATTGAGGATTTTATAAGGTATCCCCAAAAAGGAACTACAATGGAGACTATAGGTACACTTCCTTGAACCTCTGCATTCCCAGGGCCGGAAAAAAGGAGTCCACACCGACACCGCGGCCACGCCGGAAGTTTGGCGCGGCGGCGCTGGGTGCCGTGGCAAAGTCTCTTCTGGGGGGTTTAGGGTTTAGGGTTTGGGGGCTTTGGGAGTTTTGTGGTTATTCGCTCGATCATGCTGGGCTTCCAAGTGGTCTTTTGATCATTCCTATCATTCGTGCTTGCCTGTCTGTTCCTGACCTTCCGCCGTGAACCTGGTTTGCGTTTCTTGGCTGGTGGTGCATGTTTGACTCCTCTCTCCAAAGACCGCTACTGACAGAATCGCCTGTAATGATTAACAATGACAGCAATAAAGATGCAGAATAAGGGCCGCAAAAGTTGAAAACATGTGTTATACTATTACGACTCAGTTACGGTAAACATCCTAGTGGAGGTGCAGCGGACGACGACTCCGACGATGGCGAAGGGAATTTTCACCCACACGGCTATGCCAAATGGGCAATGGCACGTCAGAAGATTTGGGGCGGCTCTGCTATGCTTGCATGGAGCGAAGGGTATGTTTCGTGAATGTCAGTGCTGAGATACTGCTGCAGCGCCCTGTCTGAGGAATAATCACGAACGAGAAGACAGATTGGGTACTTGCTTCCATGATTCTCTCCAGCCCCTCGGCTCTATCGCAAGCAGCTACCAGGCCGAGACTCCATTGAAACGAGGGGCGAACCACGATTTGTTTTTGTAGGCTCTGAGGCCGGATTTGCTGAGACTTGGAAACTCTCATGGCAGTATCAACTGAGGCGTGGTGATTTTGATTTATGCTTCTGGGCGGCAAGCTTTTTCCGAAGGCGTAGATATTGCCGTCCTTCGTCCTGGTCCTTCGTCCTGGGTAACTAGTGAGGGATATGGCCCATCAAGTTGTGCTTATATGCCGTGTTGCATTCCCCGAACTCGTTCCGCAGATTGTTTCTGCGCAACTGCATTGAAAGAGGTGTTGGGGTATGCAGCATTCTGATGCTGTGATTGGGGCTTTCGTTTTGTAAGCTATTCTCTCTGCGACACTTCTCGGCACGAGCTTGCCGACCTAGTAGTCAGGCTTCGTCAAGTTCATTCCCCCGTCGGAAACTGAGGATGCTGACCTGACAGCAAAGAAGAATCTGACACTTGGCTCCGCACCACCTGTGGGTTTTTCTGCTGAGGCCCAGCCGTGGCTGGAAACCTGCAAGCCCAGGACTTCGGAGGAAGAGACGTTGCAGCAGATAACCAACCTCATTACCGGCGTCTACACTTGCAACTTGTGCAGCAATGCCAGGGAAAGGAGGTTTCACCAGGGATCCAACAGAAGCTGTCAGATGCCTTGAGCTGCTGCGAGTTCAGGACGCAAGGGGGCTTCTGATGGTTCGCTCGGTTCGTCGATCCGGTGTGCCAAGGTTTTTCGGGTTGAGAAAGGTGACAGGCTGCCGGAAATCTCATATCAGTGGCGCCGGCAAGCATGCATCAAGAAACGCCCGCTGTGCAGAAACGAGGTGTCTACGCGCTGGAGATGGCGTGTCGCGTCTATGTTTTTCGGACGGAGGTGTTCACAACAGCCATGCTCTTCGATTTCCTTATTGCCAGGGCCTCAGTTAAAGTTAATATCAGATGACCAAAGTTTGTCTTTCCTGAAGTTACAATAACACTTTAGGGCCCTAGGAAACACAAGCTCTCCTCAATGACTGCTCCATTCAATGCCTGCCAAGATTCAGATGTAGAGTTCTCGCTCCTCTCAGATAATTGTGTTTCAAAAGAAGTTCCAGGCCCACCTTCTGCGTGCCTTCCGCACGAAGTTCTAGGACCCTAAACGTGTTGGGGATGTCCCTTTAGCAATCTGAGGGCCCTCTAACGCCATGCCCGCCGAGTGCGAGTGTGTGAGTCGAAACACTAAACTCTGTTGTTGCCCTGCCAAGGTCGCAGCTGATGTGCTGCTGCTCGTCATAGATCTTGCTCTTGGACCGGCCACAGACCAATATAGGGGCCTTGATAACTAGATTAGTTTCTGGGGGTATATTCTATAGCTATAACAAGGAGCCCCCAAAACCCTATTATAAGTAATAAGGCCCCTACGTTATCAGTGTCAGGGGTCGGGATGTGATTCTTTTTGGGGAGGCTTGGTGGTTCAGGCCATTCAGCCCGAATCGAGACCTGCAGTTTGGGAAGGTGAGGGGGATGAATACTTTCACATGACTGTGTCACGGTGTCTGCTGCGCAGGATTCCCGTTGAACCTCGGGTTTTTGCGGATCTTTCGCCTGGTGCGCGTGTTCAGAGACTTGGCTCCTGCAACCTTCTGGTCATCGCATCATATGCACTCATCGTTGTTTCACATGCTCGTATCATTTAGCACAAGACTCGAGCGACATTCTCTTCGCTTGGAGCTTAGACATTCCATCCATTGGCAGCCTGTATCAACCACCATGTGCTGCAAGGATTTGTTCGCGTCGTGGGCATGTTCCCAGAGTTGCAGTTCCTGGTGAAGGGCTTCATCTCCTCCTTCTCAGCAGTCTTCTGGGGCTCCATTCTGATGTGGATCGCAACCTGGCTGCCCAGGGGATCAGAGGGCCGGATGCACCTTAATAAATGGACATCCTTGTTTCATTCCTTAAACTCCGGACCAGCTCGGGACGTCTCCTTGCCATGCCAGCATTGTGTGTGTGTGTGTGTCGAAACTAGCCCGGCTTGGGGCTGTGCTGAGAGTGGCAAGAATCCAGAAACGTGCCTTAGTCCAGGGCTGTTCGAGCATAGAGTTTTTTCCCCCTTCAAGCAGCCAGCAGCTGAGGTGATCCTGATGTGGGCAATCATCGCCGTATACTTCGTTGACCCAACCTATCGCGAGATTGTTCAATCTCTGGGCGATGCATGTGAAGATGAACTAGGCGTGGTAAGAAACTGCAGAGCTTGGTCCTCCGTTGGTGATTCGGAGCCTTGGCGGCACACTCGGGCCCTGAGGCAGCCTTCAAGGTCTCTTGTTCTTCCGCAGCGTCCGTCGGGTCTGTGTCCGCAGCTTCTTGGCTTTGCCCAGGTGATCACTCTGACCCAGACAGTCGTGTTTGGAGACAGCTGGGGTGCATCAGCCATAGTTGCTTTGTCAGCACTTTCCGTGAGCTGCTTTCCGCGCGCGTCCATGTTTGCAGAGTTTGGCGGTAGGATCGCGAGATGTTGAGAAAGTCAAAGTCACCTGAAGCATGGTGCGGATCTGAGGCGATCATCGAGAAAAACCCGCCTTTGCTGGTCATCTTCGCGGCCTGGCAGACTTGCAGTGGAGTGTTTCAGTTCCTGCCCCTTCCGGCATGAACGGCTCATAGCCAGAGTCAGAAC